TCCAAAGATAGGTTCAGGGATCAGTTGACAAAGCCCAAATTATCGAGACACAAAGTTTGGTTGATAGGAAAGCAGGAAAATGTTGTTTTTCACATGCATGATCCTCGAAATAATCATCCTAGGGAGTAAAAAAGCTCTCCAGATGTCCACAATGTTTGTATCTTCAGGTGAAATGTCGGAAATGGATCTGGTGAACCACTCACGGACATGTGACCTACTGGCGAAAGGAGCCATCGAAGGACTGAAGGAATGACATTTAGAAAACATCATGAGGTACTTGGTAAAGCACTCCCCAAAGTTTTTGGCATCATCGTTATGAGTCAGTCGAAGCAGTCTAGTTCCTGCAATGGTTCGATTTTGAATTTCAGGATCTTTTTCATCCACTTTCCCAGAAGTTGTGAGAGATGGTTCAAATGTTGCATTGAGCAACAATTGGAGAAGCCGATATGGGCCAGCCAACAGTAGGTTCGTTCCTGCTTTATATCCTTTCGGTTTGGAGGTGGCGGATCCAAGGCTTTTGTATAACCTAGTGAGAATTAACTCACTAAGGAATACTCTTCGACCAGAATGAAGTTGGTTTGCTAAGGTGAGAAATCTTTTGGCAACTTGTAGAGATTTGCAGCAAAAGATACACCTGGATAACCAGAGAGCAAGAAAATCTATATGCTCAACATCAGATACTTTGTCTCCTTGAACATGATAAAGATTCATGTACTTGTTAAAGGCGGCGTTTTCGACTACAAAGTTAATGGTGTTATCTTCTTGTTTGTAAGGGTCGAAGGTTTCTCCAGTTGGTGGGAGTCCAGTGATGGCAGCCACGTCGAAGAAAGTGGGAGTTATCATTTCACAAAGGAGATGGAAAAAATTATAAGTATTATCCCAAAAATATAATGAAGCCATCAACATAGGCTGGCAGTAACTAAAACCTATTTTTGACATTTGAATCAAGTCGAAGATACTTAAGTCTTTCTAGGCTTTGGATTTTTTCTTTCGACTTTGGCTAACCAATCAAGATATTGTTTGTCTGCTACGGAACAAGACCTAAAAGGTCTAAAGTTCTCTGTCACATAGTCAAATTGAAAGGGTTTATTCTCAATTACGGGAACTGGGGAAGGTTCTTTTTTAATCTTTTCTACAGACGATTCAGCTAGATTTTTATCAGGATTATTATTCTTCTTTTTAGAAGGTTCGGCTTTATTAACAATGGGTTTGGTATCATGATAAAATGGGGAAATTTTCCTAGTTTTTCATAAACACCCAGAGGATAACATAGGACCCATGTATCCTAGGGTTTTATCAGCAAGGGTGAAAGGGATAATTACCTGGGAAGCATAAATAGCTTGTTATTCTGTAGAAACATGAGGTTTTAGAATGAGTTCTTGATTTCCAACAAGAAGCAATTCAGTGATATGATGAATTGGTGTCAGGGTTGAGAGTTTAGATTGTTGAACGATTGAAGTTTTTGAGAAAGAAAACTGAAAGTTGCGTGAGTTTTTTCTGAAAATCAGAAGTCAAGAAGGTGAAAAGTGTTTTTGAGGAAGAAGAAGAAGGTATATATAGTTGGAATCAATTCAGTTTATATTTTCAAAATTCTTGAGTTAGTGGGACACGTAGTGGTTTTTAATGAGATAGTGGAGAAGGTTACTTGTTGAAAAGCCACATTGGGAACCTACTTTAGTAGCAATGATGAAATTTCCTCACGCATGTCTTGATTATACGTTTTGGAAAAGTAAATCATGATTGTTTCTGATGTCACAGCAGTAAATGTTCATCAAGAAGGATGTTTATCCATCGAAATACAGATATCTTGCAAAAAAAAATATTTCTCCAAGTATATCGAAATACACATTTTTGGGGGGCAATTTGTTAACTGGGGAATTTTGACTGTGTGAATGTTGAGCTGAAATGATACATCCTAAAAGAAATTTAGTTCGAAAGGAAGCATAAAGGAAATCCTATGAAGATTTCGACAAATGAAAAGCTAGTAAGAACTTCATTTCGTTAAGTATTGGCGAAAGGTTCGTTTGTGAACCATTGGAACTTAATTTATTCGAAGTATTATCAAAATAGACACTTTGACCTTCACGTCTATATTGTTTGGCGCTTTGAAGACAAAAGGGTTTTCAAATTTGAAAATTTGATCTTATCCAAAAGATACGCGTGGAGTCCTGAAGAGATTCGAAGAACATGCAGCAAAGAACGTGGCGTTGTTTCAGTAGTTGATCGTTAGGGTAGAAATAGTATAAATAGGAGTCTTAGCAATAGGATTTGTGTGTTCACATCTTTGTACAAATTACTCTAAATTACTCAAAGTACAAGTGTTCGAGAAACGATTTGTGAGAATGTAATGCACCAATTTTATGTTTATTGTCATTCATTTTCAATTGAAGTTTTATACATTCTTTTTAAGTTTTGATTGAAAGTCTTTTACATACCAGTCTTTTCTTTAAAAAGTTACATTACTACATTCGAAGTAACAATCAAAATCAGTATTGTTTAAAATATTATGAATAATGTCGAAGGTATTCTTTGCTTTCAAGAACAAAAGTTTTAATAAGAACACATGTCCTTAGGATCAATCTGGTCGATCCTGCAAGTCATCAATTTTTCTTCGATTTGGAAGACCAGTGGTTGTTTACCAAATTTCACGGTAAATAGTCGCTCTTTGATAAAATATCTTTTTCAAAACCAAAATTTTCTGGGTATTTTTAAAAGGGATATCTATTCACCCTTCCCCCCTCTCTAGATATGTTGTCGTCGTCTAACAAAGGGTATCAAGAGCCAGGTTTATTTCAGATTCGACACTCTTTAACCTCACCACCTTCGCCTTGTCAACCCTTGCATATGTCTTGTTTAAAATTTCTCATGCTTGTAGGACTCGAAATCACCAACTTTCTCAAAGTTGTGACTATCCATACAATGACGGATTAAAAACAATGCTTTATAATTTTTCTTCTTCTCTTCCTTATGTGTTGCTCGTTGTGCATCTGTTGCACCTTCGACAAGGGGATTCAACTCATTCTTGATCACTTCAATAACATTTTGTTAGTCAAATAACACCTTCATTTTCTTGCACTATTTGTTGTAATTCTTCGCATCAAGGATTGGTAGATTTGTAGGAACTTTTTCATTGGAGACAAAATTCATGTTGCACACTAAGTGTTTGGATGATCGAATTAGGCTATTGATGCGAAATGTTAGAACTTGAAATCACTCTTTGGTGAATAACTGAGGATTTTGAATGTGGGGAGTTATATAGAGAGAGGGGGAAATTAGAGAGAAATAATTGAGAGTGAGAATTTTCTATGACTTTTTCATTAACAATAACTATCATACCTCTAAGATATATATACAAGTGATTGGGATACAAAACATCAAGTCAAATAAGAGAAAAATCAAAAACTTAAATATGTGATTGATTACACAAAATATATATCTTGTTACCGCAGCTAATAACAAAAAATCAACCAACAATGAGAAATCAGTTACACATTTGTAATAGCCGGTTACACTAACTCTAAAAATATTTTTTTTCTAATTTATTTAACTTATTTTACTATTCATAATTAGTTACACACCTCTGCATCTGCATGTAATTAATTACGTCACTTGAATTATTCAAAAACTCTTAACATGTGATATACTCAACACTTCCTTTATTTAAAGGTAAAATGCAACACTAATATTCATTATTGAAAAACCAGTATATGTTTGGTCATTACAGTCTCATGCTAGCCTACATGTCGCTTACCTTGAGTGAAGTCCAAGATTTGTTAATTGAGTAGATGAATGATTTTAAGGGTCATACAAGAACCTCAATAACCAGACAAAAACATGAAAGAACAGCTATCCAAACATACCTTACCGGACAAAAAGCTTTTAGATTCTTAGCTCTAATTTATGATATATTTTTTCTGTCTCAAGCAACAGATAGAATGGGGTGTGGGGACCCAAAGGATACAAGACTCAGCTTTTGAGTGTCATCCATTTCAAACACAAGCTATAATGGGGCCTCTAGGCTAGAAGAATCAAATTATCATTTTTTGTCAAAAGACATTTTGATTTTCGAGAAAGAAAACCAAGATTTTGAAATTTTAACTATATAGAGCAAATAAAAGTAGCTTTAAACATGCTTTTTAGCTTTTGAGAATTTAAATTTAGCATGTAAGACCACCTCTAACGGAAGGTTTCTCATGTTGGTTCTCCAAATGACAATGTTTTTTCTCTTTCCTTCAATGTTCTAGCTGGCTAACGGATTAAAACACTCAACGGTTATTATTATTTTTTTAATATTTTAAAATTCAAAGCAGCAGCCAAGTAGCCGTTGAACGGCTAGTTAATTTAATTTTTTAACTTATTTTTCAATTATAAATATAGTGTTTTAGGAAAAAATTTATCAACACCAATTTTCTTTCACTTTCATTTTCTCTTAAATTTCAAGTTTCTCTCTCAAAATTTCATCCAAATTTTCATCTTTTTACTTCAACTTAAAATTGTTTAGGCCAAATGGATCCTAATCATTTTCATTATCAACAAGCTATGTTCAATTACATGCAAAATAATCAAAATCATAATTCTCAAAATGCTCAAATTCCATCGGGGTCAACAAATCCCGTCATATTTTTTCCGTCACCAAACAATCCAAATATGTTTCCTAGCCCTCAAATGAATTCTAATAGTATGGAATTTTTTCGTCATGAACCGGAAATACCGATTGGATTTATGTCTGATTGTCAACTTCCACCCTTTTCTACTCAAGTTGGTGCTGAAAAAGAAAAAAGGGTTGACGTTAAAAAAAATCTCGAGAGCAATTTACAAGGGATGAGGATATACTTCTTATCCAATCATGGCTCAATGTTTCAAAGGATCTAATTGTGGGAGTTGATCAAAAGGCTGAGAGTTTTTGGGTAAGAGTCGTTGCCAATTATAACCAGTATCGTGGACAATCGCGGGAAAAGGTAGGGGGACAATTAAAATGTCGATGGCATCGAATAAATGGCATGGTTCAAAAATTTGTTGGGTGTTACAAACAAGCTGTTAATGGAAAGAAAAGTGGGACATTGGAGAACGATATCATGGCCTCTGCACATGCTTTTTTTGCTCAGGATCAAGGTACAACATTCAATCTTGAGTACGCATGGCGACTGTTAAAAGATGAACCTAAATGGATGGGAGAATCGATTGGAAGTTCTTCAAAAATAACAAAGACTTCCGCTAGTGGGGCATCATCGGAGAACCCAGATACACATTCAAGTTATGAGTTTAACTCATCATCACCAATGGAGCGTCCAATGGGACAAAAAGCGGCAAAAGGGAAGGGTAAGACAAATAATATTCCAACTGCAACAGAAGATGCAAAGAATAAAAGAACAACGGCAATGGAAAGACTAGCGCAATATAAGGAGGACGAGATAGAAGTAAAGGTAATGCAAATCATGATGAAAGACACTTCTACTATGAGCGATAGTCAACGAGATATTCATGAAAAATATTGTAATAAGATGGAAAAAAATATGGAATGTAGTTAGTATCACTTATGTAAAATGATCATTAGTACCACTTTAATTTATCAACACCTATGTAAAATAGTCATTAGTACCACTTTAAATTATAATAAATATTATGTTATTCAAACTAGCCGTTATTCAAACTAGCCGTTATTCAAACCATTATATATACTACCACTTATGTCATTGTTTTCTCATTCTCATCTTATTCTTTTCTCATTTTTCTCTCATTCTTTACTCACTAAAATGGATTCAGACAATTCAGAGAATTATGATCAAGAATTTTGGGATTTGATTGAAGAAGAATTTATGGACGACAGTGATGAAGAACAACAGCTTCAGAATGAACGTCAATCTGGAAGTTCCTCTCGACCAAAGAGAAGAACAACGATAGATCGAGGTCGTGAAGAATGGCACAATCGATTATTCAATGACTACTTCTCGGAAAATCCAGTATACACAGATGTTCAATTTCGAAGAAGGTTCAGAATGCATAGGCATGTATTTCTTCAAATTGTAGATGCCCTTGGAAATCATGATGAATATTTCCAAATGAGGGTCGACGCAACTGGTAAAATGGGTCTTTCACCATTGCAGAAATGTACATCTGCTATTCGTATGTTGGCGTATGGGTCTCCTGCTGACTTTGTAGACGAATATGTTTGAATCGGTGAAAGCACTTCAATTGAGTGCTTACAAAGATTCGTTCAGGGCGTGAATGTTGTATTTGGGGCTGAGTATTTGAGAAAGCCTAACAACACTGATGTTGAACATCTTTTACAAATGGGAGAGTCACGTGGCTTTCCATGTATGTTGGATTCCATTGATTGTATGTATTGGGAATGGAAAAATTGTCATGTTGCATGGAAAGGACAGTATTGTCGAGGTGATCATGGTAAGTCCACAATCATGCTTGAAGCAGTGGCATCACAAGACTTATGGATTTGGCATGCTTTTTTTGGTATTGCGGGTTCAAACAATAACATTAATGTGTTAAACTAATCCAACGTGTTTAACGATATTTTGGAAGGACATGCTCCCAATGTGCAATATACAATCAATGGGACACCATATAATATGGGGTATTATTTAGAAGATGGTATATATCCTGAGTGGGCTACATTTGTCAAGACCATTTTAATGCCACAGGGAGAAAAGAAAAAAGTATTTGCTCAACATCAAGAATCAGCTAGAAAAGATGTGGAGCGGGCATTTGGAGTGCTTCAATCTCGATTTGCAATTATACATGGCCCAGCGCGTGCCTGGCACATGGAGACCCTCAAGCATACCATATATGCCTGCATCATATTGCACAACATGATTGTGGAAGAAGAACGACATACATATGGAGGTAATTTTGATTACTCGTATGATAGTGTGGATAACAACAACTCAACAACTGAAACATTTAGCGGTCATCATGTGAATCTTGCAACAAGACTACAAAGAAGAGCTAGTATTCGTGAAAAACAAGTTCATCGTCAACTTCAAGGAGACTTAGTCGAGTATATTTGGGAACGTTTTGGACCTGAAGATGATGAAATTTAAGTTTGATTAATTATGTGATGTTATTTATTTTTATTGTTTTTAATTATATGTCATGTATTTGAGATTAATTTTAATTATCATTTTAAATTATAAGTTTAATTTGAATTTTATTTATTTTATATCAATTTTAATTTAAATAATTAAAATTATTATTTAAAAAAATATTAAATTTAATATGAATAAAATATTAATATATAAAGTAAAGTTGTGGGGCCCAATATGAGTTCTTCAGAGTTGCACCATTGGAGTGAAAAACTAATTGAGTTGCTTCAAGCTGATGTTGCTTAATAGATCCCACAAAAAATCCAAAAATGAATTTACGATTGGAGATGCTCTAAGAGAATGTTAAATTGAAGTTCAAGACAAAATGTATCCAATGTTAAAGTCAACTTTATGTCACATCTACCATTAATTTTCTCATCTTTTGAATATCAAATCCCTATTTTTTTTACTAACATGCCACGCTCTTGAAAATAAAATACCAAAATACCATACTTTAAAAAAAATCCAAAATGTCACTTTTTATATACATGCTCGTTCATGCATTGAGAAAATATATGTTGTTTTTTTATCCTTCAGCTGCTTAGCTATCCATTGGCCGAACACCTTAATATAAGTGATGTTTGCTAAAAAGCTCATAGTTAAATAGTGCAGTATAATGGATAAGGCGTGTCAAACTAAATCAAAAAAATTAGAGTTTAAATTTCGTTGGCAGAAGTTTTCATCATTTGATTTTATAAAATTCCTTGCTACTAAACGTTTTCATGATTTTATTTTATAAATTTACAAACTACAGTAAATTCATTAAATAAAATTATTTGTCAAACTACAATAATTTTTTATAATGAAATTATAAATAAAAAATTATCAAAATATATAATGAATTGGCAAAATACTTATTTTAGTCCCTTAATTATATCTTTGGATTGAGATTGGTCCCTTAATTTTTTTTCGTGTCATTTTGGTCACTTAACTTTCAAAATGTTTCATTTTAGTCCTTTTTGTCTAATTAGCGACGGAAAAACTTTGAAATTTGTCGCTAAATCCGTCGCTAATTAGGCAAAATGACTAAAATGAAAAGTTTTGAAAGTTAAGGGAACAAAGTGACACGGAAAAAAATTAAGGGACCAAAATGAGTATTTTGCCTAATGAATTTGTACTAACAAGGAATTTTGTAAAATCAAATGATGAAAACTTCTGTTAGCAAGATTCGACCCCTGATTCCTTTGGTTTGGGTTAAAATGTCTTCTCCGTTGTATTGCACTCTTTAATTGTGAATTTTTTTAGCAAATAGTGATTATATTAAGGCGCTCGGCCAATGATTGTCGGGCAGCTGAAGGACAAAAAATACAACATATGCTCGGTCAATGAATAGACGAGCATGTGCAGAAAAAGTGGCATTATGGAGAAAAAAAATTCAATGGGTAGCATTTCAGTGTTTTATTTTCAAGAGTGTGGCAGATTAGTAAAAAAAATCTAAAATCCCTCTCTAAACCGCACAATATAGTTATAAGAAATGGTGCACTGGAACTAACCTAAACAACTACCTCTCTTCACATGAATCATTGTCAAAATATGAACCTACCCAATTATATTCAATCACTTTTGTATTTAAACTAAATCTGAAAAGATAATGAAAACTAATCACTTAGATATTGGACCAAACGAGTTTTCACACTTCCTTTTTTCACAATTCTAAATTTCAAGTTTTATTGTTTATTTCATCATAGATTTGACACTTCATCTAAAACTTGACTCTTCAACTAATGAGACTTGAAATAACTTCTTTGATAGATACTATCATCAGAAGTTGTTGGAGCAGAGATCACCAGGGACTTCCCCGAACACTATTTGACATTGTATGTTGTCAATATCAAAATCACCAAGGTCATATGAAGACTATAGATAGTTTTACCTATATGTACATAGATCCATAATACATCAAAGAAAGAATACTTTGAGACTTTGATGTTAGAGGAAGGTGGAGTAGTTCACCTTGATGACAATAAGGCTTACAAGGTTCATGTTATCGGCACAGAGGTCAGACTTCAAATGTTTAATGACCGTTAGTGTCTTCTTCTTAACATGAGGTATATTCCATATCTCTTACGAATTTTCTTATCCATAAGCATGTTTGATTATCTAGGTTATCGCACTAGAGATGAACATGGGGTGTTGAAGATTTCAGATGGTGAAGTGATAACAGATAAAAGATCTAAAATATGTGTCTTGTAAATTTTAGAATTTTCTAATGTTATTGTTCATTCATTATCAGCTAGTGATGACTTTCATGAAAAAAAACAAGTTATAGGATTTGAGGCCAAGGCATGGTGGATGTCTGATGGGTGTTTCAGAGAACTTTAATGAGTTTTGCAGAAGACAATAGATAAAAGCGCAGTGAACATTGAGTTGTCATGGAGTTTCTAGGGGGTAAAGGTAGTATCAAAAAAACTTACCTGATCAACAAATACTCATTTAAAAGAATAGAATTCAAAATACTTGTGGATGTTTGGAGTAGAAAGGTTGTAACCTACTATATTTGATTGTTGTCAACATTTTTCTCATTGATCAAACTTGATGGTAAAGTTGTGGATTATGTCTTTAATGGATATCCAAGAAGTGGTAAGGGTTATGAGTTGTTGGGAGTAGAGTCTGGAGGATCAAAGTTCATTAATCACAATTGTATTACTTTTAGTGAGTCTTGTCAGGGAAAGAAGAGTAAAGTCTAGCGATGAAGCTTCTAGAAAGTATGGCAGAGAAGACACATTTTGAGATGGAGGTTCCTACTATAGATACTAGTAGTAGTGAAGGAATGGTTAAATAGACCTCTGATTATTATTTGACTCGTGATAAAGTAAGGAATAAGATTGTACCATATCAAAAGGACGGTTATGCATGTCTTGGGTGTTATGCTTTAAATATGGCTAATGGATTACAAAACTCATAAACAGTGACCTTTATGGTGGAATTCGAAAGCAAGATGAAGTCAAATATGGTTGAAGAACCATACTTTTAGGCTTGTTAAACTACTAGAGTAGAAAAAGGATGTTTAAAGCAAGTGGATGCAAGTGACAATATCAAGGTTCAAGCAAGGAAAAAAGTTGATAAAAATTGTTAAATATATGTTGAATTGGTATAGGGAAGCAAAGAAGTTGATGGGTAAATTGGAACCACTGTGGTTTCAAGTCAAGGTGAATACTTTTGAAGTATAATTTAAAACCTTAAGTGATGAAGAGAAATGAAACATTTTTTTAGTACAAAAACTATAAATCATCTTGAAAGAGGAGCCAGTGGCGATGACACAAAATTGCATTCTGGTCTAGCGGGCAGTTCGGTTTGTCGGAGCTCGGGTACAATTTTATTGTTTCATGTTTATTAGAATTTGTATTTGTATATTCTATAAGGTCCAACAAAGGGATGGGAGGAGGCAAGGAACTCAATGTCTCGCTTATAGCATTTTCGCAGTCCCATGT